GACAGTGGGCGCCCCGTGGGTGTTCTGTGGACAGTGGGTGCCCCGTGGGTGTTCTGTGGACAGTGGGTGCCCCGTGGGTGTTCTGTAGACAGTGGACTCCCTGTAGGCGTTCTGTACAGTGTAACTCCCTGTGGGCATTGTCCAGTGTGAGGGGCCCAGACTCACCTACTGCAGACAGGGCGCCACGCCCCCACGTTTCCTTGTCCCGGAATATTAGCGAACATTAGCATCTCCCAGGAGCAGGAAGACAGGGGTGGGAACTACTTGGTCCCCTGTCGCGTTCTTTGCGTCTGTAACTTGTCTTTTATATTTGTAATGCAGTCAACCTAAGTCTTGTCATTTCCCACTAAAGGTAAAACGGGGCGTCCATGGCTGTTCCCGGGTTCAGGGGTTTTTGAGATCCTCAGAAGTGTCTCATATCACCGCATGAAATGAGAAGCTGTATGAAGGCAGGCAGGGTCCCTGATCCGGGCCTGGGGACCACGCTGTAAGCCGGAAGGAGCCCGCCAACAGCCGCTGAGCGCCCAGTGCGCATGCGTGCGGAGGGTTACTTACTCAAACACCTCCAGGGGAACCATGATATCATGAAGCTGTTGTCTGCATTTATCGATATCCTGTAGGCCGGTAACAATAAAATTCCTAGAAAAAGACGAAAATCGGGACATGTGTGAATTCCGAGCCGCCTACTGAGGCTCCCCACAAGCGCGTCCCCTACCTGCAAGGCTATGCTCAGCTTACACCCCTGGGGTTAGCCCTGAAGCCCAGGATGGGTGCGGATTTTCTTCCTTAACTAGAAATTGCCACTATGGGAGGGCGATGAGCACCGGGCACCCTCTCACACAAGCAAGCTCCTGTCCGCAAGCTTGTGAAACCTCCCCGGCCCCGAGGCTGGACACCGAGTGCCGGGCTGCTCCAAGGGCCCACGTCCCCGGCACGCCGGCCAGGTGGTCGTGATCTGCCCGCGTCCACTCAGCGTCAAGCCCCCGGCAAAGACACGGCCTACGCAGCCCTCGGGTCACCGCCCCAGCGCCCACATCCAGGCCTCCTGCTCCCTCGGGCGGCCCGGAAGCGGGGCGTGGCGGGGCGCCCCGAGGACCGGGGGCGATGGCCTGCGGAGGAGACCCCACTCACAGCTTCTGGTTGAGGCCGGCCTGGCTGCTGGGCTGGAAGTCGCTGACGATGATGCCGAGCTGCCGGATGTTCTCCACGAACTTCTCTAGATGCTCCTCCAGGTGGTCAAACTTCTCCGCCATCTCCGCCGGCAACCGCCCCAGGGCCCGATCCTGAACTGCCGCCGTGCGGCTCGCAGCGCTGTTCCTGGTTCCGCCCGACCCGCCGCCACTTCCGCTTCCGGCGGGATCAGCGGACGGCTGGGGGCGAGGCCTGGAAGCTGGAGAAACGTAAAAGGGGGCGAGGCCTGGAGGGTGGAACCAGCGCGTGCTGGGGGCGGGGCTTGGGTGGCTGGACCACCGAGTTGAAGAAGGCGGTGCCTACGCGCTTGGGCGGGGCCTGGGCTCTGGGGGGTAGGGGAGGAACAGCATCTGTGTAGGGCGGGGCCTGGGTGCCAGGGGCGGGGTCCGGAAACCAGAGGCGGGGCCAGGGTGCCGGGGGTGGGGGTTCCCGGAGTTGGAGGAGGAGCCTGGCTGCCAGGGATGATAGGTGGGCAGTCAAAGCACCTAGGCCCCTTCTCCTGGGCCAAGAGCTCCAGAGGCCCCACGATGGTCCTCAGGCCCCCCAGGCTCCTAAGGGCGGTAAGTGGCAAGGACCAGCTGGGGCAAATTCCCCAACAGCTGAACTGTAACTCAGATTCCAGTGCCCCAGAGCTCCGGCGCCCAGCAAACTAAATACATGTAATGTCTGGATTGTGAATATGCCAGTGACGTGCACATGTGGTCAATGGTCTAGACAATACAGAAAAGGGGGAAGTCCCCAACATCCCCAAGCACCAGTGCAGGATCAGCCCAGGTACCATCCTCCTGGCAGGCTGTCCACCAGCTCCCAGGGTCGGGCCTTACACCTGCCATCTCCCCAGCACTGACCTGACAGTCAGCGTCACCATGGGGTCCCAGTCCCACCCCTGACCATCTTCTAACAGCACTAACCCGGATGAACACCCTAACTTTCCATGAAGGCCCCACTGAGGAGTCTCCACGGCCCACAGGTGCAATCCCTGAAGTGTGGTCGGGCCCCCTGACCTGTCCCCAGGGATGAGACCTGTAGTCGCGCTCGAATCTTTCATCTCAGCTTCCACAACATTCCTGGATCACTCCCCCATCCACAGTGCCAACTGCAATAACACAATAGCCCGTGGGCGCCCCACCCCCACCCCCACCCCCACGCTTCTGAAAAGTAACCTCTCCTACTGGACAAAATCTTGGAGTCCTGGTGTGGCGCTGTGGGTTAATGCACCACACTGCAAAGCCGTTTGAACTGCAAAGTCGGTGGTTCAAACTCACCAGCTGCTCCTCACAAACCCTATACAGGGTTGCTATGGGTAAGAATCAACTCGACGGCACTTAACAACAACAACAACCGGACAAAGTCTTAGTAAAACTGGTGCTCATTTCTCTAACATTCCATTCTGGTCCAATCACTCTTATACAGAAGAAACTTTTCCAAGACAATTGATGTTAAAGTGCCATTCGGTTCTGACACATAGCCACCCTGTGTAGGGTTTCTGAGGAGCTGCTGGTGGGTTTGAATCTCCGACCTTGTGGTTAACAGTCTAGTGCTTATCCTAAAGCACCGTCCCATATTATCTCCTCTGGTTGTTGTCCTTAGCTGCCTTCCAGTGACTCCAACTTTTGGAGGCATCAGGTACAACAGAGGGAACCACTGCTTTGTCCTCACAGTCCCCTGCAAGTCCACATCCATCGTTGTGGTATTGTTCCAATCCCTACAACTGAGGGTCTCTTACACTTTTGCGGGTCATCTATGTCATCAGACATGCTGCCCTCTTCCTGCTATTGGTCCTTCCTGGTGATAACAGAGCCAGACAAGTTTCTCTT